TGGGAAAGAGAGCTCAGGGGAGATGACCAAGGCGCTGGCATTCCCTGACATTCCCGTGGCCCTGCCGATGACCCCACTGTGCAGGGTGCAGAGCATTTCTCCCATTCATCCGGGTCCCGGCTCGCTCCCAGATATGGAGCCACACGGCGGCACAAGAAAGGCCTGCCTCCCACAAGATGGGCACCGCGCCGAGCTGCGCCTGGATCCAGAGGAGACATCTCTGTCCAGCATTTCGATCGGGGCTCTTCGGAGCCAGCTCCTGGGGTGCACACAAAGACCCATTCAGGAGGGCTGCAGTTCTAAAAGCCAGCAGATGAGCCGAGGGGCCCAGGAAGGGGTGGAGAAGCGGCACAGCGCCTGGCACCAGCCCTGCTTGGGGCCCGCCGCGGGCAAGTGGGCGTGGAGGGCTCAGGTCTGCAGCCACGGGCGGCACCCTTTGTTTTCCCTCGGATTCCTTTCTCTGATGGTGGTCCAGGGCATGGAGGACACCAGCTGCCATGGCTGGGATTGAAGGACCTCCCTGGAGGAGGCTGGGAACCCCCACCCCACGATGCCAGCCCAATAAGCAGGGTATCCAGTGGAAACAGGCCATTACTGACTAGCCTGCCATTTCAAAAGCACTTCTTTCTGGGAAAAATGCCTCTCACAGGTTCCCACCCTGAGGTCCTCGCTGCAGCACGAAAGTAAGAAACAAGAAGCTAAATGAATACACAGGAGCTGCCTCTTACTCCCCCAGGACCTGGGAGGTGGCTCCATGAGCGTCAGCCTCAGTTTTCCCATCTGTACGATGGGACCTGCTAAAATAATCTTTCAGAATTCAAAAAGTAGCCACTGAGAGAGTTTCCAGGTAGTAGTCTCTTTCTTTTCTCTGACCTAGCAGGCAGGCCTCAGCCCTAGCCTTCCTCCATGTGGCCTCCTGGATCCCAAGGCTTTGCAGGCAGCCCCCAAACACATCGGATCTGATGGATCATGGACATGCCAGCTCTGAATGGGTTCTAAATGTTGGAGCAGAGAGGCTCCTTGAAGGATCACGACTCTCGGATGCAGAGGAAAACAAGATTCCCTCCTTTACCTTTTCCAACCTCCTAAATCCATGAAAGGCTGTCCCAATAAGGTGACAAGTCAAACACGAAACAGAAAACCGAGCTCCCCCCCACTTTTTGCCATCAGGATTGTAGGACATTTCTTATGGGACAACAGCATTTCCCAGATGACTCAATTCGGAATGATAGAAAGGATTTTCTATGACCTAAAGATGTTTCTATATCAATTAATCTAGCTGCCCACCTTTCCTAGAATGCACTGACTGCATTTATTCATCTAGGTATCTCTCACCCGATGGTAAAACTCGGCATAAATATTACCTCTTCCAGGAAGCCTTCCCTGACTACATAGCTTGAATTAGTGCCCCTTCATCATGTGCCCACAACACCCCAGGCACCATGCCTTTCCTAGGATTGAAGAAATGACATTGAAACTATCTGTTTCAGTCTTCTCTGTGGTCAGGGACTGGACTTTATTAATCTTTTTAACTCCAGCTTCCAGTATGGTGTTGGCATAATTAGGAATTCAATAAATGTTTACTGAACTAAATGGGTGTGTATCTATCTCTAGACTAGTTGCTGGGATAAACCCTCCTTTGTCTCTTTCTAAGAGTATACTTTCACCTCCGCTCTCAGGAAGCTCTATCTCAGATCTAACCCAACTGTCTCCTGCACACATGCCTTGCTACTTTTTCTAACCTCGGGAGACAACAGCTGCTTACATCCTCATTCTTATCAGAGTAATAGTAGAAATCACTACTATCACTCATCATTTCTTTCTACCAAGTCAGCTTTATTTTTTCAGGCTTAAATCGGGAATGAACTATCCAAGTCTCTGGCCCGAAAGGTTTTCCTTTTAATAGACAAATAGAAAAGGACTTTCAACAAGCTTTTGTGAAAACCTGCTATGTGCTGGACTCTGTATGATGGACGAGAAACAAATGCGTAAGTCCCGCATCAAGAGATTTTCAACCTAGAATAGGAAGTAAGGGGAGAGGTACTTAATTTAGTTAATAAAAAGCAGCACCCTACTTTGTTTGTGGTCCCTTGGTTAGAATCGCCAAGTTTTGAGAAGGTAGAAAAGTCCAGAGTACTTAAAAAACAAAGCAAAGTTTCTAATTCCTGAGCAACTTGCGAAAAATCTCATGGCCCAATCAGGGAACATGTTGGAGACGTGTTGGAGAGCCCATTCAAGGACAAGTGCCGTATGTATACTGACATTGTGAAAAAAATTCATTTGCATTTTCACTGCTGGGCAGGGGCTGGCCTCCTCTGACCACGTATTCAGGAACCTGGCAGGAGCTGCTGGTCACCAACCCCAAAACTGGCAGGCTCCCTCCTTCTGGCCAAGGAGCTCAGGGTCTGCGTGACTTGAGGCAAGTCATCTGGGGACATTTGGGATTCTGATCTAGTGAGCCAGTGGAGACAGCACAGATAAGACCAGGACAGAAAGCCGGCAGTCTAAGTAACATCTGCTTGGTCTGAGATTTTGGCTCTGGTTCCTGCTGGGGGCCTGGGGCTGGAGACCGGGAAGGCTGCGTTTGGAGCTGGTTACAGCAGGTGGCGCAGGAGAGCAGAAACCACCCCTCAGTGGGCCCCGAGAAAGAAAGCCTGGTATTCGTTCTGCCCAGAAGGGAGGCATTAGGGCCAAGAAAGGCAAAGGAGACCAGGCTCTCTGCAAGGTGATGAAAAAGGCAAATTTCCCAGATGGAACGTAGAGCCAGATATGGGTTATTTCTCAGGTAAGGAAAAGCCAAGGTAGGTCCTCAGAAGTCCAAGTCCAATCCTTGGATGGCCAGCACTTTGAGGAAATGCACGAAGAGAAGGAAAGAGCAAAACAATGTACAGCATTAGCTTCAGAGGCAAGATAAACACTCCTAGACTTGAAAGGCTCCCACCACTCAGAACCCTTAGCTGCTGGGCAAAGTACAAGTCCCCAAATAGCCTCCCCCACCACCAACAAAATGAAAACAACAACAAAAGCCACTTATTCTGGCTGGTAAAACTCTGGAAAGCAGTTATTTTTTTAAAGATTTTTTTTAATGTATTTGAGAGAGAGAACAGGGTAGGCAGAGGAAGCAGAGGGAGAGAGAGAGAGAATCCTCAAGCAGACTCTGCACTGAGTGTGGAGTCCAACTCGGGGCTCGACCCACAACCCTGAGATCATGACCTGCCGCTGAAATCAAGAGTCAGACACTTAACCGACTAAGCCACCCAGGTACCCCTGGAAAACAGCACTTTTAAACAAAAAGGAAATTTATTTACATCTCAAAGCTATTAGGGGAAACCACTTTTTGATGTTCTTATCTCTAGGTGAGCTTGCCTCTGAATCACACCTTCATGGGAAGAGGGCAGCCAGAAAGTTTCCTTTCCACATACACCCAAGCCTCCTCAGCCTCTGTGCCCCCACGGGCAGAAAGCATGGTCCTACTTATCTGTGTACGCAGCACCCTAAGTTGAAGAACTTTAAGCAGGTAAAGACTCTAAGCACAGGGATAAAAAGCATCACACACAAGATACAGGACAACCTCTCCTCTGAAAGATAATATTCAAAAGCAATCAACTGCTGAGTGGTGGAAGAGAGAAATCACTTCATACACTTAAGCAGTATGGGTCGGCTTGAGGATAAATCCTAGAGAATGTAACAAATTTGACTTCCATTTCCATTTGGTTTACTTTCATATTGCTCCTTCTCTCTGGGGAAACAATCCTAGATACTTAAGGTCTGATGTCCTATAAATCAAATCTCTATGTTTACTTAAGTACATATACATATATGCAAACTTTGCGTTGCTTGAAAAACTGTTGGAACGTTTCAGGGGTTTGTTCTCTATCTTCTGCAAAAAGTGGGATCTGCTCAGCTAGGTTCACTGTTGGCTGCATGGCTCAACTAGGACAGTGGATGATGGCTCTGGGGTCTGTCCCATAACCTACCACCTGCAACTCGATGGGCCCCACATCACAGACATCTCAACAGCAGAAAGTAGAAGAGTGAGGGGATTCAGTCTCCAATAAAGGGACAGGAGAGCACAGAGTAAGGAAGGATGAATTGCCCCCTGGGCGGGACCAGGAGGACTTCCTGGAGGAGGATATTGGTGTTGCTTCATCCCTCTGTGCCTCTGCACATGCTCTGTTCTGCCTGGAAAACCCTTCCTCAATTCCCAGCATCTTCCTTCTGTGGGTAATTTCTGGTCTTCAAGAGTCAGTACTGATCTCATCTGATAGCCTCCCTGACCAGCACCTTGCCCCTGTGCATCCTTAGAAATTCTATACAAATCTCATTCTAAGTACACAACCTAGAAATAATGTTATCTCCACCTCCTACCCTAATATTTACCCACCACGCTGTAGACGCCTTCCTTTCCTCATCTTCCCAGATCCCTCTCCGTGCACCTCCCTCCCACACAGGGTTGCCAGTTAAACACAGAATGTCTACTTAAATTAGAATTTTAGATAAACAACAAACCATTTTTTTGGTGGAAGTATATCCCCAACATTGCATGGGTTGTATTTTCATTTGCTCAATATGGCAACCTGACTCCTGAGATGGCAGATTTCACACCTGGTCCCTGACCCCACCCCCACCCCCGCCCCAGGAAGCCCATTCAAAGCTGTAGGTGCACTTTCTCAGCCCTGACCTCTCTCCCCAGTCCTCCAAGAAGAAAAGGGGGCACCCCTTGCCCACACTTCTAGCATGCTGGAAGAGTAATCGAAGGTCAGTTTCAGATCCATGTTGTGCTTTTACTCCCTTATTGGGTGTATTATTCAATAGAAATGAAGTGTTTCAGTTCAATATAAAACACTTGCTTAATTATTTTTAAATGGGAGGGTTATCACTTACTTTTCATTTAAATGTGGCTTAATGAATTGTATGAATTGTATGACTACGACACTTTGAAATCTGTTAAATCCATGTTTAATTTCAAAATATGGCAGGCTGGAAGCAGTGACATTTACCTTCTCAGTTCCTGTTGGCTCTTTCAACCCCCTCTCTCCTGGAAGAAGCAAGGGAGATCCAGCTGGCAAGGCATGAATCTGCAAAAACACATCCAATCTCATCAGACTGTGTCCACCATTGTGAAACATCCCGAAGTTTAACTTATTCTCTTTATTTCACTATTGTAGCAAATGGAACTTTAAAAGTGAAAATAACAACATCATGGATTCTTCTACCAAGTCCTTTCCTCCAAGATTAACTTTCTTCCCACTTCTATCCAGTCCAAAAGACTGGATGAAAAATTGCAACAAGGATCATTTACACTTGTGTTGCCTACCTTTTTTATGTCATGGTACACACAGTAAATTATGACAATTGTGTAACTGGGATGTTGGGAAGAATTTGGGAGATTCTATTTGAGACTTAGTGATACAAATTAATTAAATTTTATTAATTACTTTTACAGTGATAAAATGTTATGGAAGATATTAAATATGGACTTTTAAAAACATCTTCTAGTAGGGCGCCTGGGTGGCTCAGTTGGTTAAGCGACTGCCTTCGGCTCAGGTCATGATCCTGGAGTCCCAGGATCGAGTCCCACATCGGGCTCCCTGCTCAGCAGGGAGTCTGCTTCTCCCTCTGACCCTCCTCCCTCTCATGCTCTCTGTCTCTCATTCTCTCTCTCAAATAAATAAATAAAATTTTTAAAAAAAAAAAAAAAAAAAAAAAAAACATCTTCTAGTAAAATAAATCTTTTTCCACTTAGTAACACTCGATACCTGATTTTTAAGATGTAAAGATCAAAATCACATATGCTTTTTATGTTATTAGAAAAAATATAAAATATAAGAGCAAATTAAATCAGAAAAAAAAAAAAAAAGCCTAACATTTAACATGCAGGCCAAGCAAAGAACATCACATCACTAATGACAAATCATGACTAAAACATAACTGAACTAAGACCAGGACTGTTTTTTGGGGGTTTCTTTTTTGTATTTTTTTAAGATACCAGTACATTTTAACAGATAAATCAAGGGGAAGTGGATTGTTTGTAGCTGCCCCAGAACACTCTGATGGTGGAGACTGTTCAAAGACTTTCAGGCACTCAAAAAGTTATTATAGAAGTCAAGAAGATGATGGACGAAGCCATACAATGAATGTTCAAATAGAATTGAAAATGTCTAAATGTTATCAAAATTGCTTTTTCATATTTTACCACGATAAGAAACTTACAACCATCCATATCTCGGGAAACACCTGTAAATTACTCCAACCACCCCAGGCCTGTCACGGCACCCCGTGGGAAGCTCTGCCCTCTGGTCTCTTTCTAGCCCACTGTTGGTGCAACAAGCACACTCAAAATGAATGGTTACCGAAGAAGGGGAATATTTTTATCTATTAAATGGAAATCTTCCCCACATATCAAGGACTATGAAACACTGCGGTAAATTACCCACAGAAGACTCAGGGACTGCCCTCCTTCCCTAGCCACCCTGGGAGTGTGGAGACGGCCGGTGTCAACACTCCATCCAAGAACATATCTGGAGACACTGTGGAGACCAAGCCCTGGGGTGAGCGTCGGAGACAGAGAAAAATGCAAAATCCTTGCCCCTCTTGAGGAGCGGCTTGCAGTGTGCAGAGTGGGACCAGAGATACAAGGGAATCTATGGTTTACCTGAGTTCCACCCACGATGAGGGTTCAATAATTCTTCAGATTCAGTGATTCTTTCCTGCCCACCCTCAATGTATGCTACAATCAGACACATGATTCTACAGAGCATCTGGCTGCATTTCTCCTGAATCATTCTCTTTTCTCCAAGAACTTGCCTTAAGTTTGACTCTTAAAAGTGTTTTTCTCCTACTGAAAAGTATGCCACTTTCCCCTTCTCACTCTCAGCCACCCCAGATGGTTTCAGAGCTTGGAAAGAAGGGCTCAACACCACCAGTCACCATGGAGTGATGATATTCCAAATGCCCAGGATGTAAAACCCAAAGAACTGGAAAGCTGGGTTGAAAATGAACCTAACCATTTTTTTTGGGGGGGGGGGATTTTTTCTCTATTCATCCAACTTCCTAGGCCTCCATAGGGTGTCCTCAAGCAGACTACTTTGAAACTGTCAGCCAAGTCTGTGCCCAAGAGCCTGTCTCCTTCAGCCCCATCCCTGCCTGGAAGGATCACAGTATTGAGGCAGGTGGTTTTCTTGATTCTGTCAAGGATGGCACACCCACCAGGGAGTCCTGGTGGAGGCCCCAGCAGCACAAAATTCACTAATGTGCATAAATTAGCACCAAATGTCTACTCTGTGGAGAAATGCCAAAACCATTCTTTCCTACAACAGGTAACTGACCATTCCCCAGTTCCCATCAGCCTCTTTCTTTAGCGAAGACCTGTTCCTTGCCTCGTCTTGTTGTTTTATAGTTTATCAGATGATTTCAAATCCATTTCTTCATCGGACCTTTGACGTTTGGGCAGCAGAGGTTTTATTTCCATTATTTAAATGAAAAAACAAAGCTCAGAGGAGTTAAATGACAAGCCCAAGACACACTAAAAAGTAAAGGGACAGCTGTCGAAGCAACGTCTTTTTACTCTGAATCCAGTATTCTTTTTGTGACACCATTCATAGCCAGCCAGAGACAACGAGAGACAAGTTCAAGAGGACCAACACTGAAGGAGCCACCATGTCCCTTCTCTGTTCTCTCGACCTCCAACTCATTATTCACCTGAAGTCTCTGATGAAAGTTCCAGAAACATCTGAGTCCCCTTTGGTGCACAGTTGATTCTAAGATAAACTACACGCATACATGCAAACGCAGACACATATTTATATATATAATATATTATATATATATATATAATATATATATATAAAGTGTATGGCCATCCCGGTATTTAAAACTCCTTAACACATTCCACATGGTTCTTCTCCATGCAGTAAGTGCCTGTAACACAGCAGAAGCTCGGTATCTATTAACTGAGTGAATAAATTAAGTCTTATCTCTCTCATCCCTTTTTATATCTCCAAACAGGCCTTCGATCCCAGCCTGTCCCACCTCCTCACTACCCCCCCAACCACGCTGGAGTTCTGGAATAGGCTCAGTGCAGGAGGATGGCCCTAGGCAACTAAATGGATCAGAACCAGACAGAAATCAAACGGTAGTTCCTGTTCTGCTAAAGCATAATCTACAAATTCTAGCTTCAGAGACGACTGGGGTAAATGTTTTAATACTTTGGGACAGATAATCCTTTGAAATAGATATTCAAATCTCATTTTATAAATGGAGAGCTAGCAGCCTTGGGCACAGGCTTGGCTGACAGTTTCTGGCTCCTTCAACGTTGGTCCTCTTGAACTTGTCTCTCGTGTCTCTGGCTGGCTATGAATGGTGTCACAAAAAGAATACTGGATTCAGAGTAAAAAGACGTTGCTTCAACAGCTGTCCCTTTACTTTTTAGTGTGTCTTGGGCTTGTCATTTAACTCCTCTGAGCTTTATTTTTTCATTTAAATAATGGAAATAAAACCTCTGCTGCCCAAATGTCAAAGGTCCATGAGCCAAAGATCACAGAGCTGGTAGGTGGCAGAGGCAGAATTTGAGCTCGGTTCTGACTGCTGCATTTACCACTGTGTCTGCCATGGTAACTGGCCTCCCTGGTACATCTTGAAGGTATCTGGTATGTTTCCCCTGGGGACCTCTGTACCAGCTGTCTACCGGGCCTACTAGGCTCCTCCCCAGATATCTGCTGCTAAGTGCTAACTCCCCACATCTCCTCCGAGGCTCTGCTCATTCTTTACCTCTCAATGATCCCGTCCCTCACCACCTTAAATTGCAACCCATTCTCTCCCTTACCTCCAATACTCTATATCCCCCCTTACCCCCCACTTTGATTTTTTCCATAGGACATACCTCTTTGTGGCCTATCATAAAATCTAGTTATTTATTATGTGTTTAGATATTTTCTAAGTTGGCTTTGCTATGGTATGGGTTTTTGTCTTTTTAAATTCACTTTATTTAATATTCACTGAGAATATTACTGGGAATATAGTAAGTTAAATATAATAAATATTTGCTGAATTGAAGGAGTAAATGAATGGTTGGCACTCAGTATTTATCAAATAAATGAAAGGTCAGGACTCCTCAGTTTATCTAAGCTATCCCATGAATAGATTCCACTTATTATATGTCTCCTGTATGCTAGGCCCAAAGATATAAGTGATCTTATTGAATTAGTCCTCAAATCCTCTGAGATAGATAATCGAATCCCCTATTACAGATGAAGATATACAGGCTCAGAGAAACTAGGTAATTAGCTCAAGATCACACCACTGGTCAGTGTCAGAGGCAGGATTTGAACTCTGTTCCCTATAACTCCAAAACTTGGGGGTCCTTCCATCCCACTATGGTACTTTTCAATGTGCTGACACGGTCATGAGCCACCTAGAAACATGCAGCATCTATCAATGACGTACTGCCCCATGTGAAATAGGTAAGTCCTAGCCATTCATAGTTTATATTATTTTCCCATTAAACTCAGGTGAGACTCAAAAGCATTCCATTACCTGAGATGAGGTGGGCTATTTCCTCTACCCTTCTGGAGCCAGGCAGCAATGCCTGTTGCTGAATCAAGTCTGGTAATTTACATTTCTAATCATTCAGGAATTTAATTAGTATCATGGCCTTAATCAGGTGCACTGCAAATATAGCTGATGTCACCAGAGCTTAATTAGTTTGAAGGAGAAAGAAGTTTTTGCAGTCTGAATACGTCTCCACTGGTATAAAGGTGAAGGGTCTCAGGGGTTCGTGGAAGAGGAAAGAAACCAACTTAAAATCTACATTCTGTGATTAAGCACTTTTTTAAAAAAATACTACCTGGCAAAGATTTTTAAAATCGTAGTATCGCTAAAATAAAAGTATGAAGGCAAAAGGATGTCAATTTCAACCATTTTTATAGGTCTGTTGAGGTATAATTTACACATCATAGCACTCACCCATTATAACTGTACAATTCAGTGATGATTTGTAAATGTATAGAATTGGGCAACTCTCACCCAGGCCAGTCTTAAAACGTTTCACTCACTTCCCAAAATCCCCTCAAGCCTGTCT